TGTGTACTAGATTTATGGCATATTATACAACAGTAACGTATAGATACGATAGCTAGATACATAGGTAGTATAAATATAGCATATATATCCTAGCTAGGGCGGGCTGACGGGGCGAGTATCAAAATATATTCTGTGTTCTGCAGTATAGCATTGTTCCTGTCACTAGGCCTATTAAGAGTATGGAGTGCTGATGACCTGACACACACACACACACACACACACACATATATATATATATATATATATACGCATGCACATAGGAGTCCTGTTTATGCTGTCGATATTCCTCACACACAAGCACAACGCAATGTCATTTTTCACACAGATGCACAACGTTTTCTCAAAAACTCGCCGACGCACACTGTCGTGACATGTATGTATGTCGGGGTTTATTGTTTGTAGGGTATTATCACTGCTCCCCACTGAAGCTGTGCACGCACATATAAGCAACTCTCACGCCTATTGCCGACAGATAGGAATTAACATAAACGGCTTCTCTTTAGCACTGCGCTTCAACCAACACACGGACACTCACATGCGTTTCATCCCTACCACTCGCCGAAGGCAGTTCCCGCAAGGCATACGATCGTTATATCATTCGCAGGCACACGCACACAACACTCGACACCCTCTTGTTTCCTCACCCCTCTCAAAAATCACACACACACGTCCATTCGCACACGCTCAAGTGTTGTTAAGTGGCTCGTTGTCCGTGCCACAGAAATCTCCCACACAGAACAAACGCCCTTTGAACTCCACCGCATGCACACCCGCCTGAATACCACAGCCACGACCAAGCGCGGCATGCGCACATGTACGCACCAAAATTGTTCACACACACAGTGGCTGTGCGAGACACCAGGAAGGAGCAGCCCTCCCAGCCCATGTTGTTGAAGATGGTGTTGTTGTAGTCGTTGGTGGCAGAGGCACTGCTCTGCGGCGTGTCTGTGAAGGCACTCGTGGGTGCCAGCGTGCTCAAGGGCTCTCTGGGTGTCATGTGGCGTATGAAGGTGTGGGACGAGTCTACGTTAGTGTGTGGTTGTGTATATCTGTGTTTCGTTATATGCTCATAACAGTTCTCAAGGGTTCTCTCTGTCACGTGGCGTATGAAGGTGTGGGACGAGTCTACGTTAGTGTGTGGTTGTGTATTTATGTGTTTCGTTATATGCTCATAACAGTTCTTAAGGGTTCTCTCTGTCACGTGGCGTATGAAGGTGTGGGACGAGTCTACGTTAGTATGTGGTTGTGTATTTATGTGTTTCGTTATATGCTCATAACAGTTATCAAGGGTTCTCTGTGTGTCACGTGGCGTATGAAGGTGTGGGACGAGTTTACGTTAGTGTGTGGTTGTGTATATCTGTGGTTCGGTATATGCTCATAACACTTCGTGGTCCAATGTGTATGCGTTGTGTTCGCAATAGTGCGCACGCTCTAGGGTTTAATACGCCGGTGCCCTTCACTCACACTCGTAGCTCTGGGGTTTAATCTCTGAGCGAGTTAAAATGAGTTTGCAGCTCATACATCAATGGACTCGCACATGCGTAGTCAAAAGTAAACTTCGGTTGATTAATAAAACCAACACAGCTGGCATGTGTTCAGCAGCTGAAAAAAACGCAGTTTACGGGAACAGATAAACTATGCACGCGAATGCACGGAAATATATGATACCACCAGACAGACTTCAAAGGTGTACGATAACTTACGAGCACACAGACTGTATAAACACGTTTCACAAGTATGACCAAATCTTAGTGAGTACATATATATA